CCCCACCCCACCCCACCCCCCATTGCCCTCTGTTTTTGCATAAAGCCTAGCTCTCTAATTGCAGAGCATGGGTCCAATCGCAGTAAATTTACAAGGGCAAATGTGGATGTTTCTTTGTGTCTCTAGACTAGGCAAAACTGGCACTTTACAAAACTATGGATCTTGGAGTCATTTGCTTAATATTAGCTTAGACTAAGGCCCCATTAGCAGGTTTCCTGCTAGGTTCCTGCACTTGAATTTGCTGATTGTGTGCTGCTGGGATTCTAGTATTTGGGGGCAAAATAACTCAGTTTTTAGAGTTGAATGAGAAATGTCATCAGGGGAAAGTTGACAGAATTGCCAGTCGGCTCAATTACAGAGGAGGAAACAGGTAATTTCACGCATTCATGTGTTCATTGTTTTCTGTTTTATTTGTTTGTTTGAGACAAGGTTTCTCTATGCAGCCCTGACTGTACTGGTGCTCACTCTGTAGACCAGGCTGGCCTCAAACTCACAGAGATCTGCCTGCCTGTGCCTCCCGAGTGCTGGGATTAAAAGTGTGCGCCACCAGCACCCGGTTTATGTGTTCATTCCTTCTTTTATTGTATATAAAATGAGATCACTCATCTTCAAAGAACTAAGGATCATAAGATCAGCCATAGAAAATACTGCCCAGGGCTTTTTTTAATGCACATTTTATGGGATCAGCGGGACCCATAACTGCAGTCAGTACCCTGGACATACATGTCAATAAGGGAGGACTCCAGAGAGTTGTTACCTGACCACCACAGGCCCACTGTGACACTCCCCCACACAAGCAAACTCAGTAAATGAAATTAATATAATATTTTAAGTAATGGGGGAAATGTGCATTTTAGAAGCATCAAATATATAGCACAGAGTAGAAATTCTGGCAAGTTGAAGGCACCCAAATGTTTAATAAGTTCTCCAGGTGGCTGTTTGTACAGGCCACAGCTGACTGCCTCTGACACAGTGGAGGCAGGGTACTTAGGAGAAACTGTGGAGAGCTTGCAGAAGAGGGGGAGCTCGCAGAAGAGGGGCCTTGGGAAAGAAGCTGCAGAGTCAGAATTGCCTATGAGAAGTAGGGGGTGTGGGAGCTAGTCCTGAATGGGCCTTCAATGGGAGGGAAGTCACTCCACGTGCTAACTGGAGGGATGAGATAGCCCTTGCTCTGCTCAGACTCCTGGCCCAGAGCTGCAGCCCTTTCCATAGCGGCCTCAGGGCGCAGTCATCCCTACCAGCAGGTGGCACTTAACCCCTTCTCTACAAAACAAGGTCACTATGTATGAGAGGATGGGTCATGGTCCTTTGACCTGTCTTTACTGGAGGACCACTCAAAGCCTTCACGACGGTAAATGTGCACTGTGACTCTCCCAGGGAGAATCCAGACAGCACAGTTTGTAAACCGAGAAAGCAACCTTTTCCCCAGAAAGGGACTCCTTAGTATTATGGAAAAGTTTAGTGGTCCCTTTAAAAGGTCAAACTTGTCATTACCCAGAGACTCAACACTTTCACTCCTAACTAAAAACGATTGATACCAGAGACTCAGCTGCAGCCATACACAGCATAGGATGGCCTGATCAATAGTGGGCTTCATGCCCAAGGATGGTCTCATGAGGTTCAAATGAAACTTACAGACTCCTATTGCCTAGTGTGCTGTAGCCAGCTGAGGTTGTAGTACAAGAGTTACCCACCTGTTTGTGGTGATGCTGATGGAAATAAACCCATCAAATAACAGCGTAGAGTCACTTGGCAGCATAATTGTGCGTGATAATAGATGACTGACTTGCTTACGTATTTGCCATACTTCCTATTGTTTTAGAGTGTACACTTTTTACTTTTTTAAAACATGACTGTAAATCTGCCATTTCTGTCTGTGGCTGTGATCTCTTGACTGCATCCCAAGGTGATGTGGAGTGACTGATCTTTACCGTCTAGGTCTGTGTAAGTGCACTGTGTGATGCTGGCACAAGGACAAATTCACCTAACTGCAGTTCTCAGAGGATATCATTGTCATTAGTGGTGCACGACTGTGTGTGTACTAATGGTCATGATAGCCTTATCCAAAAAAATACAAAAGGGGAAAATACTCTAAAACACCTCACAGCAGATGGGTAAATGAAACATGTCATAGACAGACAAAGGAATACTGTCCAGCCTTAAAACTGAAGGAAATTAAGATACACATTAAACCATGGTCTCGCCTCAAAGGCATTATGCTAAGTGATTTCAGACACAAAAGGATAAATGCTGTAGGGGGCTTTTTCTGGGAAACACCTGGCATAGTCGAATCAGAAACAGTAGAATAGCACTTACCAGACATGAGGGTAGGAGAGCAATGAAGAGCTACTATTCAACATGCACAGAATTTATATTTGAGAAGATGAAGATGTTTTGTGGGCGGATAATGTATAGCGTACAATGTTATGAATGTGTACCCACTGAATTGTATACTTAAAGTGCGAAATTGATGTTTTTCACTTTAATACAATGATGGTGTGGGCAGAACACTTCTACAGATGCCTGATACCTGGCAGACAATACAATTGTAAAAGTGCTTTGTTTGGCCATGTTCTTGGGGTGCTCTTTGGAAG